CTGGATGAGCTTTAAGGTCCCTTCCAATCCAAACCAGTCTGGGATTTTATGTTAAGGTGAGAGGGGGGATTCAGGGATGACCAGGACAGCAGGAAGGAGCTGAAACTACTCCAAAGGGGCTGCTTTAAATGAAAATTACATCATTGTACATCACTCTTCCATCACCAAGCACTGTCACGACCTCTTTTTGTCTTGAGCTTGCTAGATCTCTCTGGAGAGGTTGATCCTTCCTCCATAAAGGCAGCCGGGGAGATGCCCAGAGCCAGATTAAAAGGGCAAAATGTGTCCAGGTTTGGTGGCAGGGCTGGCAGAGAACCAGCTGGCACTGGGAACACCCACTGGGGACGTTCTCCTCCAAAACAGGAGTTCACATGGGCAACGTGGCCACCTCCAGGTCAAACCCACCCACCCCAGCCATGGCATCCCGCTCCAGGCACTCACGTGTCACCAGGTCGAAGCATTTCTTCTCCTCGGCGTGGGGTCGCACTTGGCAGGTGAGGAGGTTCAGCTTGACAGGAGGACGGTTTATCTGCAGGGCATGAGGACAAGCAGCACATTAAAGGTCTGGGAAGGGGTGGGACGTGCATCACCACGCAACAAACCTTCAACGGCAACTCCAGCGGGACAACAACCAGCCCCAGATGGTTCCTCTTGGGATAACTGGGTGAGCTGGAGTCTCTCTGACCCTTTGCAGAACCGGGCTCCGAGATGTCCCTGAGCCGTGTCCTTTGTCCCCGCAGCAATTCACAGCCTCCACCGCCAGGGGGCAGAAGCCAACCCCAACCTATCCCAGCCCCTTTGAGCTTGTCTGGAACCTCAATGCTCATCTCGCTGCTCCAACCAGTCCCACTGTCCCTCCCATCAACACCTATTGTCCTGACTTCGGCTGGGATAGAGTTAATTTGGTGTGAGAACGTTGGTAACACAGTGATGTCACTGGAAGACAAAGGACTTTCCAACTTCCCTGTGTTTTATGCCAATGGGATATTCCAGGGCATATAAAGTCATGTTCAATATATTAATGAGAGGCTCTTGGGCTCTCTCGGCTTCTTGCTCTTCCAGAAACCAAATCAACATCATCCAGGAACGGGCCAGGCTCGGTTGGTGGGTGGTGAGCGATTGTGCTGTGCATCACTCATTTGTATATTTTATTATTCCTATTATTACCATGATTTTTATCAATATTATTTTAAGTTTTATTTTCTTTCCATGATTAAATTGTTCTTCTCTCAACCTACGAGTCTCCTTACCCCACCAATTCCCTCCCCTGTTCCCTGGGTTGAGGATGAGAGTTGAGCGAGCGGCTGTTTGGTGTTTGGCTGATAGTCAAGTGAAACCACCACACCTACCAAACACAAGGGACCCCGTTTAGTTCATCCAGTCCTAATTTGTACTAAATTTTAAACCAGGCAGATTTGTGACAAGTTTGGGCAAAACTAAACGTGAAATCCCACGGACACCAAAGCTCAAAGGGTGCGTTGAAGGGTCAGGACTCCTCACCGTGCTGTGGGAGATGGTCAGACAGCCGTACTTCACGCCACACTTCCTCTTCTGCCACACTTTCCGGATCCTGAGGAGGAAGAAGAGGCGGAGTGAGGACACACTACACAAGCCTGATGCATCCCACATCCATCTCCCTCCCAGACCACCAATGGTAGCCTTCAGCAGAGGCCTGATGGCTTTCTGGATGTGGGGTTGTGCTTCCTGTAGCTCACAGACCACAAAATGTCCCATTGAGCACACTGGCCATGGGTTGTGCTGCCCAACAGTGTCACAGATCTGCAAAGCACATAACCACCTGCTCAAAACCTAGTGCCCATCACCCAGAGGTCTACTGAGAAGGTGAAGACCCTCTCTCTGGGTCTCCAAGGGTTTTATTTTTCACCCTAGATGATCCCATCATGATCCTTTCTCCCTCCATGCCCAAGAAACAAGGAATTTCTTCACCTCCCATCAGCTGCACAGCACACAGCTCTTCAGGGTGAACTTGGCACTGGGTGGCTGTTCTGGAGACCCACATCTGAGGACACTACACCCACACAGCACCAGCCGCTGTGCCCAGCAGAGAAGCACAGGAGAAGCATCCAGGGCACCACAGTCTGCTGGACGCCTTCACATAAGAAACAGGCCAACGACACCAAACCATCACAGGAGAAGATCCCCTGCACCACCTCCAAACCTCCTCCTTCCCAGACACACCAACCTCTGACCACCAGCTTGGGGAAAAACCCCATTCTCCAAAAACTGATGGATGCTTAAGACCAGATGGAACCAACTGCACCCCATGACCCATCTAATAGTGACTAAAAACCTCATCCAAACAGTTCCACCTCAGAATGTCCCAGCTCTGGGAGCTCCCATGAACATGATGCTCTCCCACTCTACACCAACACTGGGATGGAGTCAGGAGTTCTCTGGGCAAATAACACCCATCCTCACCCATCGCTCTTCTTGTACAGAAACCCCGATTTCTCCGTCCCATACTGCTTGTTCCCTTGGTGCTGGTGGATGCTGTAGCCACTGCCAGAGTTCTTCCTGCTCAGGTTTTCCTGAGCTCACCAGGGGAAAAATGAAAAAGAAAATTTTTAAAAGCATTAAAAAAAGCAAAGTGAGAAGTGCAGAGGGGGCTGCTGCCTCCAGGAGACCTTGTCCTCATGTGGGTGTGGTGTCCATTGGGATGTCAAGTGCAAGGTCCTGCACTTGGGTCAGGGCAATCTCAAGCCTGGGTGGAGAATGGCTGGAGAACAGCCCTG